AGAGAGAGAGAGAGAGAGAGAGAGAGAGAGAGAGAGAGAGACCAGAATAACAAAAAAACTTGAAAAGAAGAATTTAAAACGTGGGAGAAACAAGAAAAAATGAGAAAATAGTACTGTTACAGAAGCTTGAATTGAAAAAACGAAATAGAGAGATGATAAAGAGGAAGAGAAAAATCAACACCTAAATCAAAGCAAAAAAAAATTCCATTAGGAACCCAAATCAAATCCTCCAACAAGAGAATGCACATGTGATTCTCATGTGACCACTATGTTAAACTGCCTGAGTGTTCACACAATTCCCTTCTTGCCTTAGTTATAGTCTGATTGCAGGCAGCAACACCAATTTCTCCACCTTTCCTTTGCACTCAAAACCTGAACTACCTCAGCCTGAAGGATTCTCTCCTCAGGACCAGCAGGGAGAATCTGATGTTGTCCTTAGTCTTGGTTTAGAGTCTTCCCCCATGGTATCATGGGAGTCACTGGGCACGTTTCTTCGCGGTAGGGTCCACTGGAGGGGATGGCAGGGCCATGCACCTGCGGAGTCTGCATCCCTGTTCATTTGTTTATCCTCTCTGCCCAGAGTGAGGGCCGCTTTCCTTGCCCACAGTGAGTGTGGGCAAAGATGCTGCCAAGCTGCAGCAATCCCAGTGTTTGGAGGGGAAGAAGGGGTGTGTGCAGTCAGTTCCAGGGGTCCAGCCTCTGCATTACCCATTCATTTCCTCAGGCTGTTGGGATGCTCTCATGATGGCTGCTCCATAAAGGAGTGGGGCACAGCCATGTGGACCAGTCATAGTGGCATTACTTCCCATTTTCAATGATCTAGATATTTGGTTTGAACTACACATATCATCTTTCTCATTAATTTTCTGTTTCAGTGTGTCAGTCTCTTCTCCACCACAGGAGAAGCCACTGTGGCTTCAGTGAATCCTCTCTGGGCACATCTGACATAACACCTTCTCTGGTCAGCCATGTTGGATTTTCTCCTCTCTTACAATTTTTAACTTTATTATTGTACAGACTTTATTCTACTCTCTAAGATCCATGTTCTTTTTTAAAATTCCATGGTGTTTGATATACTTTCCAATTTGAATCTATAAAATTGTATATGATTTATTTCTAAGAATTTTGCTTACAGGTTTTCATGTTTTCCTCCCTGTTTTTGCTTCAATTGGTTCCTCAATGTACCTATTATATCACATAGTTCTTTCCTGCCTTTATTTTTGGGTTGGTCCTTCTAGCAATGTTTATTTTGCAACACTGAACTCTTTCACCCAATTGACCTTCCTCCTTATCTCTGTCAAAGCTCACTTAATTCTATTTCTTTTTCTGATTTGTGGCCCTGATTGCTACTGGGGGAATACATGGAGAAAGGTACACAGGTCCCATTAAAACATCTTACAGAAAATTGAAGTTGATTCCATAAACAAACCTCCTAAAATGAAATCAAATGATAAAATATATGTAATTTGAAAATGCACTTATTTTTGTTGCCCTCTCATAGCTGGAATGCAATAGCTGACCCCCAAACTTTAAAGGAAGAAAGGTTTATTTTTGCTCATAGTTTCAGAAAGCAGTCCATGCATGTCAGACCCACATTAAGGGAGAAACAGTATGGCAGTGGTCACAGTGGAGGAAAGCTGCTTGCATTTTGGTGGCCAGGAACCACAAAGAGAGAAGGGATGAGCCTGGGCGGAGATCTACTCTTCTAGGTCATGCCCCTAAGAACCTACCTGTAACCAGGTCCCACCTCCTAACAGCACACTCAGCTGCTGAACTCAAGTATGGTGCCCCCATGATCCAGTCACCTTCCAAAATCCCCACCTCTGAACACATGAGACTTTGGGGGGACATTTTATATCTGGACCACAACAACCCTCAACCTTGGTTATTTGAAGAGTCTATATTTGCAAATATATGTACTCACTAAAACATGTTTTTAACTCCAAAGTAATACTCAGAACATTTTTAGGATCACTAATAAGCATGAACAGAGTGGTAAAATACTCTTGTACCCAAAGTTCATGCTTCCGCTTGACATCTAAAATGGTGACACTGTACTTTTTAGTTTTGGGTTTGATTGTAACAAGTCTCCTTTTCATGGTCTATTTAATGCTATGTTTTTTTACAAGTTTGTGCTTGTCACTGATGATTTTACTGTTTGCAGTAGTCTCCAAGTGTAATGCTGAAGTGTAGTAGTATATAAAGACTATTAGGTGTCACATGGAGAAAATATGTACATTAGGTATGCTTTGAGTAACAGTGCTATTGACTATGAGTTCAGTGATAACATACCACCCATATGTATTAAATGAGTTATCTTTAAACAGAAGCACAGATACATTGGTTACATTGATTAGTTGGCAAAAATGTGACTAAGCAAGGCCCATGTGGTTATACTTTTTGTGTATTATTTGTCACATATGAGGGTATCAGAAAATTCTCACCAGTTAATTGATTTAAAAATTACAAACACATTGCTTGGCATGGTGGTGCTGGGAGGCTGAGGCAGGAGAATCATAAACTCAAGGCAGCCTGGGCAACTTACAATAGTTACTGAGCAAGTCCCTATTTCAAAATTTTAAAAAGAAAGAAAAGAGAGGGTGGAGGAAGAAAAAAAGAAAGAAAAGAAAGAGAAAGAAAGAAAGAAAAAGAAGGAAGGAAGAAGAAGGAAAAGGAAGGAAGAAAGAAAAAAGAAAGAAAAGAATTAAAGAAAGAGAGAAAGAAAGAAAAAAGAAAGAGAAAGAAAGAAAGAAAGAAAGAAAGAAAGAAAGAAAGAAAAGAAAAGAAAGAAAAGGGCTGGAGACCCTGTCTTAAAGTAAAAAATCAAAAAGGGCTGGGTTATATCTCAGTCCAAAGATCCTGGATTCAACACTCAGTACTGCAAAATAAATAAATAAATATACAAACAAAAACATTATTTTAAATTTGGCTATGCTATTATTGTTTTCAGCTATTACTAATGTTCTTAGATTTAAAAGGATGAAGGAACTTTACCAGGAAGTTTGTATAACCTAGGGACTACTGGTTAGATTACTCTAGATTCTAGTTCAGTTCTGCTACTGATCAGTTCATGATCTCAAGCAAATAATTTCTCTGTGTTTTTGTTTCTTTATTGCTAAGCTGGACAAAATGGAAACGAGCTCTATGATTTGTTGCAAGAATTACAGGAACTAATGATTTAATATGCTAATTAAGTAAGAGCTTTGTAGAGTACCACACATGTGAGATGGATCCATACCTAGAGGCCCAGGATCTGCCAGGTACTGGAATGATCAGCCAGTACCTCTGTCTTATGACCTGTATAAAGAGACAGACTTCTAAGCTTTGCAAGACAGAAACAATTGGTATTAGTGGTTTTCTAGACGTATTTCCTGAATTTTACTTTGTGTTAGGCTTAGCACTTTATATTCATAGTCTTATTTCATCTTCGTAATATTTATCACAGGTATTATTAAGAGCATTTACAAATAAGTAAGTTAAAGGTCTTAGCAACTTGGAAAGCCCAAACTGGAGGTTGAAATTCAGGTGTCTGATTTTAACATCTGTGCAGCTTTTCAGTGATAGACTCTTTGACCTTTTCAGGGGTAGTTATGCCGCAATAATACGTGGCAACCACCGAGGAAGTTATTTTGTCAGATATATCAGATAAGTTAGGAGTATTATTCTTGTCTTAGTTACTTTCTTCCTACTGGGAAAAAATAGCTAACTTTCACAAGTTAAAGGAGGAATGATTTACTTTCACAATTTATAGAGGTTTCGGTCCATGGTCTCAGCTGGCTCCTGGGCAGGGCAGCAAAGCAGAGGAGAAACAGCTCATAGCATGATGTTGGGAAGCAGAGAGAGAGGGGAAGATCAAAGGTGTGTATGGGGGACATCCCCCTCAGTCCATCCTCTCAGTGACTCACCTCCTCCCACCAGGCTTCACCTCCCAACATCATACTTAGCTATAAAGTCATTAGCAGATTAATATACTGATAAGCTCACACTTCTGTGATCCAATCACCTCTCAGCAGCCCCAGCTATGAGCACATCAGGCTTTGGGGGACATCTAGATATAAACCATAACAATTTTCCAAAGAGATACAGCCTTCAGTCTCAAAGTGCTGAACTGTGAGGCCAAGACAATTCCCCAGGTATTGGAGTGAATAACTGACAGAGGGAATCACTTCTGGGTCTGAACACACTGAAGACTTTTGAAATTCATCACTTTGATTACATTTTTAACTGAGAAAAACAACATTCTTCTGTAATAAAATTAATTATGAATTACTTTTTCTTTAGGGTGACTCTGGAGGACCTTTGGTTAGTGCTGATGCTAGAGATATCTGGTACCTTGCTGGAATAGTGAGCTGGGGAGACGAATGTGGGAAACCCGACAAACCTGGTGTTTATACAAGAGTGACTGCCCTCCGGGACTGGATCACTTCCAAAATTGGTATCTAAGGGAAAACCAGTGCAAAGAAACTGTTCCTTATATATGTGATAAGTCATTTTTAGAGATGCAGAATTGCAGAAGAAGCCTTAAAAATCACACGGATCTGGTCCATCTCACTAAACTCTCTCATTGGTGCTTACTTTTCCATCCTAGCTCTTCACTCCATGTGAGCATCTTGTGTCTGCCAGATGCATTTGCCCAACTTACATTCATATATTTTCAGGAAGTTTTTTATCATCAGAATTTTGACTTGTTGATATAATTTTTTTGTGCAAATACACAATTTGAAGCAATGCCTTTCTTTGTTTTCTCAGCTTCTCTCATCTCAGTAAATTTTCAATTTCAAGGTTAGGTACAAGAAGTGAAAGAAAACATAAAAAGTATTTTTTAATGTATGGAAAAAGTATGAGGCATTTTTCCTTTGTGGTATATGGAAAATGATCATATTCATGATGAAAGGCCAAATAAAGAGAAATAGCAACTACTCAACACCTCATGATGGAGAAAGAATGGAAACTGACTTAAGGAAATATAGAGAGAAACCAGTGTGTAGCTTTATAAGTCTCTATGACTTTATAAGTTTCAGATGACTACCAAGGTAAAAATGAAAACAGTTCTGTTTTCTTATGAGTGCATAATTATACAAACTGTATGTAATGTGCTTGTTTTGAGTAAGTTAAAACGAACAATATTTATTTAACATGACACTCCTGAGAATGTTGACATATAACAGTGAAATGATTTAGTCATCTATTTGCTTGACATTATAATATAATCTATGAAGATGTAGACGATGTGGAAAATGTTATCAATCAATTGACTGAAAAGTCTTGAAATTTGAGACTAGAATGAAAATTTATTAAAGAACAATTAGCATATCTTATGTGGTAAAAATTGTATGGTTGAAGAGGAGAGAATGAAGACAGAATCAGCCCAAACTATTGACTGAAATTGGGTTGACTAATGGTATCACCAAATGCCTGTGCATCTCAAACTTTCCTATGCTGCAAAAGTTTAAAGGGAATAAGGCCCAGTAATTAGCACATAGCTGTAGTCATGCAGTTCAAGCTGGGCTCTGTCCTCATTTTGAGAGATGGCAGACGTGCTTCCCTATTTCCAGTCTGCCCATGGCCAGTGGTCCTGTTAGACCCTCCTGGCTTGAGAAGGGAGGGTATCACAGGACAGACGCCCTGCAGCCACCTCCATGATGCATCTACTGTAATACTGAATTGCTGACTGCTTGGATACAGAGAGGAGAAGAAAAGCTTTGCATGGGCCAACTTCATGATTTTAGTCTTGGTAGATTATTCTGAGCCCTTAGAGACAAAATGTTCAAGTGATCGGACCAAACTAAAGTTAGAACTGGTGCCATGGCAAATGATATGTTAATGATGAGATGCAGAAGTCTTTCACTTGACCTTTCTTCATTTTACAGAACATGCAAATGACCTGAAAAACATTGGCATATGCATTGATTAGATTTAGACATGTCTAAAATAAGATTTGAAAACTGATATAAATTAACAGTGTTGAATATTTTACATAAAACCTTTAAATTCCACTTAATAAAATGTTCTGGGGAAATTGAGAGAAATGATTAATTTAAAACAAGAATATAGGCACATTTCAAACTTTCAGTGTTCTATTAAAACTTGAGTGCCAAGTATATTCTGAAATTTGACTGTTAGGTGAGACCCTCTGAACTCTAAGAAGGTATAAGGAAGAATGGAAATCTGGATTGAAGAATATCTTCAAGTAATAATAAAAACTGTAGTAGAAATTCTGAATTAGAGTCTTGTAAAAGCAAAGAATACAATTTATCTTTCAAAATACATTTATAAACGAATGCATGATACTGCTATTATTAGCATGATGTTAGCATCATTAGTATTTTCCAGATTTCTGGGAATTAGATTCCAAACTCAAATAAAATTTATGGCCCATTATTTGAGAAACTCCCATACAAACTTGAAAAGATTTAAATTAAAGAGAAATTCTTGAATTTTTATTTTACAGTAGCATTATAGTCCTTGGAAAAATATTTTTGGTATTTCTATCTAGAAAAGATTTAAAAATTAGAGGTTTGAGTCAGTGAAGATAAGAGCAGTTATTCAAACTTTATTTGCATAGGGAAGTAATGCACACTCATATTCTTACAATAGTAATTTATTTTGAAAAATAATGTATTAAGATTTTTAGTATTCTTGAGCATATCTGTGGTACCTTTTTTTTTCCAGTTCTAGAGATAGAACTTCGGTCTTTCAAACTAAGCTACAGCCCCAGCCCTTTATTATTATTATTATTGTTGTTGTTATTATTATTATTATTATCATCATCATCATCAAGACAGGGTCTTGCTATGTGGTTCAAGCTTGGCTTGAGCTCACTATGTAGCCCAGGCTTGCCTCAAACTCATGGTGATCTTCCTGCCTCTGCCTTCCTAGTGCTAGGATTACAGGCATGTACCACCATACCTGACATTATTATTATTTTTACTGTTGAGGTAGTTTCTCATTAAGTCACTAAATTCTTCAAGCTGAGCTTGAATTTGGGATCCTACTGCCTCAGTCTCCCAAAGTGTTGGGATTATAGGAGGATGCCACCATGCTTGGCCTATGTTAGCCATTTTATTGAAGAAATTTAAGTCATGATTATGATATTTATTAATTATACAAGATGGCAAGCAGTTTCATTTTTACCTCTTTTCCCATAGCACCCAATAATTTTCAGTATGCGATAATGTATCAGTAAGTGTTGGCTTTTTAATGTTTGCATTGTGCAGAAAACATAGATGTATTATTATAGTCATGTGACATAAGGCCACTTGAGTAAATGACAGGCCACAAAGGGGACAGTGGTCCCATTAGATTAAAATAGAATGGAGAAAGTTCTGTCCCCTTGTGACATTGTAGCCATCACATTTCAGCACAAAGCATTACGTATTTGTGAGAATGTACTTAACTTCTGCCATCTAGGTTTGCATAAGCATATACTGTGACTTTCACTAGGTGAAAAAGCCTAAAGATTCATTTCAAAAATGCATCCTAGGAGAAAATGTTGCACAACCATATTTTCATATTGATTTTTCAAAGTAATCCCAGACTTTACACTAATTCTGACTTCAACCAGTTATTTAAATAGTCTATTATACATTTTAGTCCTTATTTTGTGAAATAGGAAGAAAAGGGGCAAAGGGGAAGGAAGTGGGAGGGGTAGGGGAAAGGAAAGAAGGGAATGGAATTAATATGACAAAGTGGAAAAATAGGAACAAAATCTTTGTAAATAGGCGGGCAGTGGAGAGGTTGAAGGTAGGGCTGGGCAAGGGTGAAAAATAAGAACCAAGAGAGACTATGTAAAGATGCAAATTTCCAATGATGAATGTCATTATACTGTATACCTAAAATGTACCAATGATTAGAATGAATAATCAATAATGCAAAATAGGAGGAAGAGGTCCAAAGGGGTAGGGGTATTGGGAGGGGCAGGGGAAAGGAAAGAAGGGAAAGGAAAAATGCTGAGAAATGGAAAAAATGGAAATAAAGTCTTTGTAAATAGGGAAGGGTGAAAGGGGTGAAGGGAGGGCTAGAAATGGGGAAAAACAAGAACCAAGATACATCATGTAAAGGTACATGTTCCCAATGAGAAATGTAATTGTGTTGTATACCTAAAATGTACCAATAAATGAATTTAAGAAAAAAAATAGTCTATGCCTAAATCACTGTCCTATAAAATAGACCTAATATTGACTCATATAATTACTATAGTAATAAAACTGAGATAATGTTTGAAATATGCTCAGCACAAGTCTTAGAACATGCTTGATGCTCAAGAAATAGAAGGTATTATTCTAGTTTTGTTTTAAGCTATATGGTTTTTTGATTATAATAGTTTGAATATAATTCTTTGAAATGAAGAAATAATTAGATCCACAGAATGTGCTGCTTCATTGTTAATTATCATTTTACAAAAGATATTTTATTGGGGTCATTCCAAAGCCTGTTGTGGAGGTGCTCTTTCACTGAGATGATTTATTCTAATTTTTCATTTCAATTTGTAAAACTCATAAATATTATTGAGCATTCTGACTCAGGTATAACAGAACCTGCAGTCCATTTCTTTCTTTCTTTTGCTTAAATTCTTTTATTGGTACATTTTAGGTATACAATACATTTACATTTATCATTGAGTAATTGCAAATTATATTTTCATACTGTTGTAAAATATAATACAGAAAAATAGTATGCACCTTAGGCCAGTTTCTGGCAATGGTATCATTTGATTTAGCTGTAATATAATATTAAAACCAGGAAATTAAAGCAATAATCATCCTAATTCAGATTTCACCAGTTTTAAAAATACAACAAGTGAGTGTATGTGCATGAAAAATATATTTAGTTCTGTGTAGTTTTATCACTCACGTAGATCTGCGTGACCACCACTATAGTCAAGATGTTTGATCAAAGGATCTTTCATGCCAACCCACATCCACCTGGCTCCCTCCCTAATTCTGCCCCCTGGGCTGACTCCAATGATGAGAGGTCTGATGTCCATCTGTGTAATTTTATCTTTTTTTTCCGTACCGGGATCAAACTTGGGACCTTGTGCTTGCAAGGCAGGCGGCAGCACCGCTGAGCGAAATCTACCCAGCCCATTGTCATTTCAATAATTGTATATAAATGGAATCATATAGCATACAACCTTTTCAGCTTGGCTTTTTCATTTAGTGTACTTCTCTACAAATATATGTAAGTTACTGTGTGTGTGTGTCTGTAGTCACTTCTTTATAACTGTTGAGTATCCCATGATATAGTTATATTATAGCTTGCTTAACCATTCACCCATCAAAGGGCACTGGGCTCTTTTCAGTTGGGGGCCATTATAAATAAAATTGCTATGAACTTCATGAGTAAGATTGTGTGTGAATATAAATTTTACTTTTGTGGAATTAAGGGCCCATATGCTAAGTCCACATTTAATTTTTGTTCAAACTCTGTACCCATGAATTTTAGACTTGTTGAGTACAAATGATATTAGTGACTGGACTGTAAGCTCCATTAGGGTGGAGACCACAGCTGATTCACTTTTGTATCCTTCAAAGTTCACCAAAAAGTAGTAGATTATGAGTTTCTCAATAAAGTTTTAATATGGGCTAGGGATGTAGCTCAGTGGTAGAGTGTTTGCCTACCATGCACAAGGCTCTAGGTTTGATCTCCAACATCACATAGAAAAAATTATTAAAAATTAAAGATAGTGATAAAAATAAACATTACAATATGTACAAAATAAAAAAGAAAGAATGACTTTGAGTGAATAAGAATTAACAATATTGCCCTCATGAGTGTATTATGGCCTAATTTCTGTAATTCTGGACTTTACCATAGTACCTCCAAGCTCCTTGTGTTGGTTGATACTAAATCTTAGTCTTTACTTTCCCACACAATTCACAACAAAACAGACTGAAAGTATGACTTGTGTAATAAATTTATCTTTATGCCTGAATTTGCATCTTGATCTATGTCTAATGGCTTTCTGACACATATGTATTAGCTTCTATACCATACTTGTATAATAGATTCCAGAATCAGGTCATTCTCAATAAATATTTTTGGCCTTACTTTTTATAACCATGACTCTTTAATTTCATTGTCTTTTTATAATTTTTAATATATGACTCTTTAGGCAGAATGAAAGACTGAGCCCAGATAAATATAATTGGAAGGTCACCTTTAGTTAACATGATCCATATCCCATTCTTCTTTGGTACTCAATTGAATTTAAATTCATAGTGAATTACTATAATCACTGTCTTGTACATACTTCTCCTTTTCTTTCTTTCTTTAATTTTAATAAAAACAAATGGCCCTCTTTGATTTGGTCAGCATGAGCAAACAAACCTGAGCATGTGGACCTCTGGGGCCTTTAATATGATCACAAATCCATACCTTCATCCGCATACTAGAAGCTGCCTTCTCTCATTTACCTGGGAAATTTGCTCCAACAACTTTTCCCTCCTTCTCCTATATGTTCATATTTTTTTGGTACTGCCTTGATTTTAAAACAAATGCCAAACCAATTATCTTGACCCCAGGTCCCCCAGAAGCTGCTGCTCACTGAAACAAAAGTACTTGAAGAAATCAACTGTATTCACTATGTCCTAGAGCTTTCCTCCCTTCCTTTAAAACATGAAGTTATTTGCAATGACTGATTTATATATAAAACTGAATGAGCCACAGGTGCACCTAGGGTGTTTCCTGTGAGACTAGTGTCTGAATCTGTGGACTCTATAAAGTAGGTTGCACTCCGTAACATGAGTGGGATCAGCTAATCCTTTGAGGATCTGAACAAAGAAAAGGAAATGGGAGGAGGAATTCACCATTTCTTTCTTGTGAGGCAACTTCTTGAGCTGGGACACCTCACATTGCCTCATCTTCCTCTGCCCTCGGACTGACCGGGAGTAACATTGTCCGCACTCCTGACTCTCAGCTTTCAGACTTGGACTGAATTATAACGCTGGTTTTTGTAGGTCTCTAGATTGCAGACAGCAGATGGTGGGACTATAGAAAAGTAAAACAAAAATAATCTGGTCTGCAAAACAGGCTCCAGTAGCTATTTTGCAACATCTGTTCTGTGACCAGAGTTGGTCTTGTCAAAAAGAGCAGGAGTTCCCATACTGATTGTGTCTCAAGGACTGTCTATTCCATATCAAAAGTAACCTATTCAATCTTGCCAAATGTCTCTGGGGCCCACATCCCCCAGCATGGGTCAGCAAACATATAAAAGCTTTGCCTTTCAAGTCCCTTTGCATGGGCGCCTGTCTTTATGGCTCTCCTCTCACAGTGTATATTTCAGTAAGCTGTCTGCATTTATTCTACTCTTGGTAAATTCTTTTATCATTTATGCTACTAACCCTCTCCATACCATCTTGAATGACATTTGGTGAGCCATGTAGTGACATCTTCCTCCCTCTCTCAGCCCCTCTTTACTCTTGTGATTTTGCATGGTAGGCAGATTGGCCTGCAGGCAGCTGATGGTACCTGGCTGGGGTGAAATCCCCAGTGAGACTTGAACACCTTCTGGTCATGACCCTCAGCACCATGACCCATCAGGGTACAAGCTAAGGAGCTCCTTCAGGCCCCTTGCAGAAATCTTTACTTCCATTTGCAACTAGTGGACCCGGGCCGGGGCTACACTTCAGTAAGACTGAAAGGCAACAAGAAAAGGAGGATGACCCAGTATAGTCAGGAAGGAAAGAGGCCACTTTCCTTTCTTCACTCTCGCTTTTCCTCCTTTAATTGGTGATGGCAGCTCATCTAGAGTCTGTGCACATTGTGAGGATTCCCCATTCACTGTTTCATGGCCTTTGTTGATCCTTGGCTGCTGCTGGTCTCTGGCTTTACTCTGTCTCATATAAACTTCCTAG